TAATTACCTCATACACATCCTTACATACCCAACCCTCCTTCTTTACCCGGGCTTGTGACCAGCAGTAGCCTCAGAGAAGCTAGAGGCGGAGCTAGAATACATTTACATCTAAGAAATTGTCAAAGCGTAATCCCCATCACTTTAAGTATACATCAATAGTCAAAAAATTATTGTGGTGAATATTTTATATGAGTATCTGTTACTTGTAATAAATTCCATTTATTTTTATCCTTTGCCTCTGTTGGTTTGTCTAAAGAAGAATTTTTGAAATGAAATTGAGTCATGAGATGTGCAATTCAGATGAAAAATCTTTCAAAGAGAAATACTGATGAATTTATTACTTGCATGATAACATTTCATTCTGTTTCATTTCTCCAGGAACATCGATTTTCGTTACTGTTAAAAAAGATTGGATTCTTTTAGGTTTGTTGAAGCATCAATTTGCTATTCTTCCACCCTATTTCTAATGTGACACAAATGAAAAGTGAATGCTTAATTACTCTTATGCACTGAGTCTACTAATTCTTCTACTTAACAGTAGATATTCTCTTCCGAACTAGTTGGAAAAGAAAGTTGTCTTCTTTCACTGTTCACTGCAATCATCATGAAATATGATTGTAACTTTCAATTTCCTTCAACCTATAAATACAATGAGATGTGTAGAAATGTGATGCTGTTTAAGTGTATATCGACATTTAACAGAACAAAATTATCGATTGTGAAATGAATTTAGAAAGAGACAGAAGCGGCGAAATGTTTAGAAGTTAAAATACTCCTGTATTTGATTTGAGAACTGTGAAAGCGGTTGGCATTATCAACCAATTTCAACTTTAACCAATTTTGCTTACCTAGGCTTGCTTGGTTTTGACACGAGTGTTCAACTGATCATAGGGATTTTCGGATTGAGCGTCTATCAATAGATCAGAAATCTTGACATGTGCAATGGAGTAATTAAATCCATGAGATAGGGCTTCTTCCTCAAATAATCACCAATGAACATGTTTGTGTGGATGCATGGACATACGGAGGAGGAGCAATGGATCCATGCAATCAAGCATTATTTAACATGTGCCTAGATGGCTTGAAAACCAATTAATGTCAAGTGGTCGAATTAACGTGTGAGATAGAAAATCATGTTCATCAATAGTGAAACATATAGTTGAAACGCGTCACAAAATTGATAATAATACAGCTTTTAAAACGTTGTATACAAATTGTCAAGAATGAATTCTCAGTTTTTCTGAAGCCTTTAATATTCGTAAATTTAAATCTCCCTTATGAGTAGAAGAACAATTTGTCGTAACCTAGAGTTTATTTTGGTAATCTTTGAGTCGTTTTATGGCTTATGACCACTATTTAAACCTGGAAGCACTGAACGGATGTTTCGTCGTGTTTTTAGACTCCTAAGCAGTCCGCATCCACGATCCCGCACGCGGGATTTGAAACCAGAGCATTCGGTCTTGCCCCTGGACGCTTAACATCTAGACCAACGAGCTGGCCTTCGACGGTGTTAATGTCCAACTTCAACAAATCCACGGAAGTGCGCGATTATTTCTTAATGTACTGAGGTAGATACTTGTCTCTACTTGTCACGGATTAGCTCCACTGGTCACAACTTCTCACTAGAACTCCAAGAATTTCCTCATGAATCTAGTCACTAAAGCGAACATGGAAATTACCGCGTTCGCGCGCGTGACTGAACGTCCTGGGTTGGAATCCTACAATCAGGATCGTAGATGGGCAATCCTGAGCAGTCCTGTAATAAGTCAAAAGGGCCGTACAGTGCTTCCATGTTTTCAATGGTCGTCTAACGTCAATCGGTTCAAGATCTCAATCAAAAAACTAATAATCTTCACAACCCTAAAGTGATAAAATGTTTCTCTCGCATTTATATACCTATTTCGCTTAAACTTTCATTTAATTGACCTCTATTCATTTTCATATAAAAAGGCCCTGACAAGTATATGTGTGACCACATTGCTCAAAATGTATAGCGCAAATACATCACATGATTCAGATCAACTCCATCTACACATTACTTCATCGAAATTCATACAAGCGACTAGTTGCTGTAAATTTTTTATTTTTGCAATAAGTAACAAACATATTTATTCAATACACCTTTCTTTGAATATAACGCCATATACTTTGTTGGTAATCATTGTCTAAATGTTATTAGACACAAACATTACGAGTTAGGTTCTAGTGTAATTAAGTTAAGTGTAAATATCTACCGATTAATAATTTGTGGTAGATATCACAGTGTCCTCAATTGATATTTTCATATTTACAGTTTACAAAAGAATCCATTCAATAAACAACCTGATTTAATGTATATTTTGCCTAGAAAGAAAATCTTATTTATTATACTGTACTCAACAATACAATGTAAAAAATATTCCATATTGGCATCCATGATATTTTCTCAATCGAGTGATCACTGGGTGGCGATCAATGTCATGCGTGTCTAGTCTTTAATAGTGCAGATCAAATAGCTCAGTGGTAATGTCTCTGACTGTGAAGCTGGGTGACACGAGATCAAATCCGCCAGGGAGCACCAGTTCCCTCAAGATTACAGGTACACCTTGCTGACTAGTGCCAAGTAGCACGAAACCCGGGTCCACGGTTTCTTGTTGACTTCCTCCAACTACCATCTAATGACGTTTTCTAATATGCATACATAGCAAAATTAAAAGTTTAACACTTCACTTATTTAACATAATACAAATCATTTGTAATTGAAATATCAAAAGTTTGTACAAAAATGAAACTGGATTCACGTAGTTCACAACAGAAATTGAAATGATTAACTCTGGGCCGTTCTTAAACTGGGAATAATGAACATTATTTTATCATTCAAATTAGTTAGCATAATTTAATACTATGATTGTTCTATCAGGTCATAGGATCAATTACTCTTTTCAATTTACTATTTGGAATAGTAATTTTCTAATAACAAATAGAAAAACAACATCCATATCATATCATCTAGGAGATGAATACTTGCATGTACATGATTTTAAGAAATTCGCCGACAAAGTCTCATCATTCAACAGTCAGATAATCAATCACAAATTCTGTTCAAATGGCATGGTTAATGAAAACATACAAACTAACAATATGAATATAACATCGACTTACATTGTAGTGATAAATAGAATATTTCAAATACACTTAGTGATAGTGAGACTTTAATTCATTCAATATTGTTGAGTCATGAGTAAGAAGGAGATACATGAAGTTTGCTTCATCTCATTTGGAACTCACTAGCGCTAGGTATACACACGATTGTAGTATATTTGAATTGCAAAATATTATAATCTTATGTAATAGATGTTGGACACCTTCGTCAGAAGAATATCAACATATTACCAGTAGGTAGATCATTATAGATAGTTGAAAATCCTTATAAAGTTAAAAACTGTATTGAAGTACTAACTTTCTCGTAAGGAAAGTAAATAACTATAGTTTTATACGAGAAATGATAGTTCCCTTCTCATAAAATGATTGTCGTAATGAATTAACCAACTTTCTACAAATAGTACATAGAAATAACTTTAAAAACTGGTCACATGAAATATAAGCATGTTCGTTTCAAATATTTTGAAAGAATTGACACGTCTTAATGAAACCTTGTACTTGGTTTATAAAAGTCTCAAGCTTAAATACACATAAAACAACGGATAAACCTTCCTTGCAATCGAGCTACTTATCACAATCACTTATCTTTGCTATTCATTAGTAACAAATCGATCAACACATAACAATTCTGATTTTAATAGTGAAAGTTATAAGGATCTACATTCTACTTCGAATGATTAATAAATAGTCCTAAAAAATAAAATTAACATACGTGTTTGAAACTGAAAGCCAGTACGTTACACTGGAATTACTATGACAGATTTCACAAACATTACATTTTATAAGGCTTAAGATATTTTTCATTGAGAACATGAAACAATCATTGAGAACTTAGAAGCTTTGGATGGTCGTCTCACTCGAGAATAAGACAACCAACCAGTGCACATTCACGATTCCACATTCCAGCACTGAACACAGCAATTTCAGTGTCCTGCACAAACGCTTAACCTATAGATCACTGAGTCGACATCTAATGGTGAAAATGTATACATTCAACCAATTGACTAAATTGTGCGACCATCTTCCGTTGTCTTCAGTTCGTAACTGCCTCACCTCACACCCGACACATTTGAAATCCACTGATCACGGATTCTCATGAGACGTCCTGGAATTCTCTCTCGAACTTGCCACTAATGAGTACATGGTAGTCAGTAGTAGATTTTGTGACAGGGTTTCGTGTTTAACGGTATCCACCAACAGGAGTTATTAGCAATCACGAGAATCATGATGCTTCCTGATCAATTTGAAATGGAGTCGCCAATTTCACAATCTGAAACGTTACCTTCGAGCTGTTCTGGTTGTCATTATCTATCTGTAACTGCCTATGTCTAAGGTATATATGATCAACAACGAAGTAACTGTTAACTTCAATACATTGACGGAATACAACATTTCAGAAGATTCAACGACGATCATCTTTATTCAACTAAAGGAAATGTGATGTGCGTATTAATGAAACAAGTTTTCTGATCATGGTTGATAGATAACATAATAGGTGTATTGTTGATTCAGTGAATTCAGAAATGCCAACTAGATTATTTGAAATCATTGACGAAGCATCCAAGACATCGGTGATATAAATATTCCGAGAAAATAAACCAAATCATAAAATGTTATTAAAAAGACATTGAATTTAAAGTAAAATTGACTCATGTTCTACAACTTGTTTTGAAGCCTCATTTTCGTGTGAAAATTATACATTCAACAAACATGTAATTAAATTTCCGTTTCGTCTACCGTTTTAATAAACTAAAAAATGGATATTTATTTAAGGACAAAAGAAATGAAAGATTACAATTGTTTATAACAGTTATTATCTAGGCCATGGTTGATTTAAAAACTAAATCACTTTGGTGATTATGTATTTTATAATTAAATTTTATGATCAATCAATTGATGTACAGTCGAAAGTGTAAGAGAAAAGATACTTTCAACTGTAATTCGTTTAACGTGGATTGATGAGGTTGAAGCATTTGATGTACATTTTTTTCAAGTCTGTGTTATTTCAGCGAAATTTGCGCTAGATACTACATGATTTGTGTATGACTTATTGAATGCAGCTTTCAATATTATGAAAAATTGATTCAGCATTGAAACATGATCTGCTTTATGAAGTAGGTTGTAATTTCACTTCAATATACAACAACAATGTTAATGAATACCAAATATCCCGATCTAGTATTTAAGTGAAATAAGTTTTTCCTGCTAAAGTTACGTATTTGAATGTTAACATTGACATTTGATACTTGATAGCTATTCGTACTAATATAAATATTTAAATGTTCGGAACTCATTTTTTACTCTACATCATCAAAGATTATTAAATTACAGAAGAATTAGATTTTATGCCGGTGCAAAATGTTCTTCAAAGGAACGTCAAACCTCACTAATTACCTCATACACATCCTTACATACCCAACCCTTCTTCTTTACCCGGGCTTGTGACCAGCAGTAGCCTCAGAGAAGCTAGAGGCGGAGCTAGAATACATTTACATCTAAGAAATTGTCAAAGCGTAATCGCCATCACTTTATGTATACATCAATAGTCAAAAAATTATTGTGGTGAATATTTTATATGAGTATCTGTTACTTGTAATAAATTCCATTTATTTTTATCCTTTGCCTCTGTTGGTTTGTCTAAAGAAGAATTTTTGAAATGAAATTGAGTCATGAGATGTGCAATTCAGATGAAAAATCTTTCAAAGAGAAATACTGATGAATTTATTACTTGCATGATAACATTTCATTCTGTTTCATTTCTCCAGGAACATCGATTTTCGTTACTGTTAAAAAAGATTGGATTCTTTTAGGTTTGTTGAAGCATCAATTTGCTATTCTTCCACCCTATTTCTAATGTGACACAAATGAAAAGTGAATGCTTAATTACTCTTATGCACTGAGTCTACTAATTCTTCTACTTAACAGTAGATATTCTCTTCCGAACTAGTTGGAAAAGAAAGTTGTCTTCTTTCACTGTTCACTGCAATCATCATGAAATATGATTGTAACTTTCAATTTCCTTCAACCTATAAATACAATGAGATGTGTAGAAATGTGATGCTGTTTAAGTGTATATCGACATTTAACAGAACAAAATTATCGATTGTGAAATGAATTTAGAAAGAGACAGAAGCGGCGAAATGTTTAGAAGTTAAAATACTCCTGTATTTGATTTGAGAACTGTGAAAGCGGTTGGCATTATCAACCAATTTCAACTTTAACCAATTTTGCTTACCTAGGCTTGCTTGGTTTTGACACGAGTGTTCAACTGATCATAGGGATTTTCGGATTGAGCGTCTATCAATAGATCAGAAATCTTGACATGTGCAATGGAGTAATTAAATCCATGAGATAGGGCTTCTTCCTCAAATAATCACCAATGAACATGTTTGTGTGGATGCATGGACATACGGAGGAGGAGCAATGGATCCATGCAATCAAGCATTATTTAACATGTGCCTAGATGGCTTGAAAACCAATTAATGTCAAGTGGTCGAATTAACGTGTGAGATAGAAAATCATGTTCATCAATAGTGAAACATATAGTTGAAACGCGTCACAAAATTGATAATAATACAGCTTTTAAAACGTTGTATACAAATTGTCAAGAATGAATTCTCAGTTTTTCTGAAGCCTTTAATATTCGTAAATTTAAATCTCCCTTATGAGTAGAAGAACAATTTGTCGTAACTTAGAATGTGATAATGCAACAATTTTTTGTTGTTTCTATCCTATGTACAATGTTTCTCTCACTTTTATTACGAGAATGAAATTTTCGATTTTTAAGCCAATTTAGAAACAGAGTTAATCTTCATTTTAATCCATGATAAAGATTCAGAACATTTGATTTATGCAATCTATAATGAACAGTTGCTCTGGATCTTACTTCCAGACGTTTAACTATTTGAGAATCAACAAGTGAAAATCGAAATTTTCCTGTTATTCATGTAAACAAAACTTTGTAGTGTACATGATACCAAGATTTGTGTGAAATAGTATTTTATTTCGACATCATTAGATATCACTAAAATGTCGATGTGATCAGTGAAGTGAATAATATTTTATAATTCTTTTTATATTACATTTATAATAAACTCTGCCCGCAGCCCCTCTGGTGCTACTGCCGGTCCCAAGCCCGGATAATGAAGGGTTGGGCATAGGGTTAGCGACCCCATCCCATAGAAAACTAGCTCGCTAAAGAAACGTTAACCAGGAAAAATAATTCAAACCATTAAAACTCTGCCCTGGGTGTCAGAACGTCTTCATTTAGAAGAGTTATGATGCCTCATGGTGAAAGCCGAGTTCTCTCGGAGGTCATGAGTCCGATGCCGCTTCTGACAACCAGAGCAACCATTTGTTTACGTACATGGAATTCTCGTATAATGTGGGTGACCAGGAGGGTCTTTCAAATTGCTGCAGAAATAGAGATACAACCTAGCGACCACACTATGAGGAGATGAGTCATACCATAGCAGTACCTTTGCAAACTGTTTCATCACTCATTTATTCGTTAAGACCTACTATGTATGAGAAATGAAAGGTTGTCATAGATCGATTGGAAGATATTTGAATAAAAGATACTCGGGAAATGCAACATGAATCACACTGCAATGTATGATAAGCCAGTATTGCTGTTATGTGATTTGCAGATGTGAAGGTGCGAATCGGCAAAAAAAGCGGCATATTTACAACTGAAGAACATCTGGAACTCAAAACAACTGAATGATATCCTTCCTTTTTTTGGTAACTTTCTATAAATAAACAGATTCGGTCGATTTTGACATGTAGTTGACTCTCAGGGACAAATGAATTTTATGTAATATTTTATGGTACTTTAACAGATGTTTGAATGCATGAATCAGCAAAACAAGAGCAGCATATTTACAACTGAAGAACATCTGGAACTCAAAACAACTGTCTGTCAACCAACACCAAAGTCGGAATTTTCAATACAAATGTCAAGACAGTTCTACTGTATGGAGCGGAAACCTGGTGAACTACGAAAGCCATCATCTAGAAGATACAAGTGTTTATTAACAGTTGTCTACGCGAAATACTTCGGATCCGTTGGCCAGACACTATCAGCAACAACCTACTATGCGAGAGAACAAACCATGTCACAGCAGAGGAAGAAATCAGAAGGAAGTTCTGGGAGTGGATGAGACGCACATTGAGAAAAGCACACAACCGCGTTACAATGCAAGCTCTCACATGGAATCCTGAAGGGCAAAAGAGAAGAGGAAGACCAAAGAACACATTGGGTCGATAAATGGAGGTAGACATGAGAAAAATGCACAAAAATTGAACAGAACTGGAAAAGGAGTCTCAGTACAGAGTGGGTTAGAGAATGCTGGTCGGTGGCCTATGCTCCATTGGGAGTAAAAGGCGTAAGTAAATGATTTGCATAGTTTTGTTTTTCTAAAATCTTTATTCTGTAGTCATCCAATCTGCCTATTTTGGATTTTATTTTCCATAAATAAATCACTTAGCAAGTGAATTTGAGAACAGATTGTTCAAAACGTATTTCTTAAGAAGTCACATAGTTCTGAAATACTTCGTATTGCATTATCTAGATCGAAGCAGAGTTCCCAAAACATCTATTAATTAATCACTTTTGACAGAAAATACTTCGTTTGATTCCATCCAGACTACAATGCATAGTAGCTTGCAAATATATTTACTTTGGAAAGAGATGACAAAGCGATATCACTAAAACCATTAAATATTTTATATACTTTTAGTAGGATCATACATTTAGACGTCAATTAAATCGGACGATATTGTCGATAGGCTCACCACTTTTGTGGCCTTATATCTGAACGCACTTCAATCGTTTCTGATTTCTATTGAAATATACATATCGTCAATCCTCGTATAGAATTATCGACTTAGATCGCGTTATTGAATAACGGAATTAAATAAGGCAAATACGAGAATGAATTTTCGAATACATATATTTTATACACTCATTGATCTGGGAAGGCAATCAGAGGACTGAAGCGAAGGAAGCGAAGAGAAGAGAGTGAAGCAAAATGACGCGCAATGAAGAAAGTGTGTGTGCCAACTCAATTTAATCAAACGTTATTCAATATGTACAGCCAGAAAAAATAATTTACAGACATGTGATGATTAGGATAAGAAGTGTAGACGCATATAAAAGGGTTAATAAGTGAATAATTAACAAGTTCAAAGTGTGACTATAGAAGAATGGATAAATTGACCTGTCCAGAAGGTAGGATAAGGTATATGAGGCTAACATAGCAGCCAACACTACATATTCCTCAGTTAAAATGTACATAGAAACATCTTGATCTTAATTACTTTTCAGTTTCCCAAAGTCATTTGTATTTGCTGAAATAAAGTATTTAATACATATTTAGCAAGATCTGGTGTTACATTAAAAACCAGCAGATAACTTATAAATAACTGAATGTTTTGAAAGTTCTAGTAAAAATTCATCCTTGATTAAGTGATATGACGGGATGAAAAGTTCAAATTATAATAATTTTCTAGTCAACTCAGTGTAATATTTATTTCTGTTTTCCAGTGTGATATTTCATTTTATATAACATACGATATTCCTGTATTCCATTGACATGAATTCTATTCAGCATGATTATGTAGCATATGATTTGTTATAACCCTAAGTGATTTCATTCTCATTGTTAATCAAAATGAATGGATATCAACTATATCTGATGAGATTGTTTTTCCAACAACAACAAAAATGCCAACAAACAAATGAAAAATGGTTTTAGTCAATTCCTATTTTAGCCCAAAATGAAACTATCAGGAAGACATTGAACAATATTAGGGTTCTTCAATGTTTTATCACTTCAATAACATGAATTGTTTTTAATACAATAATTTGTTATATTAAAAGGAATTAATTAATTTACTTATTTTATTAACCAATCAGATATTTATTGTAGTTCACTCTTAAAAATGATTGGTTAATTTACGTTTTATCATTAAATATTTAATGTTAAATCACTTGATTTAGTGTTACTTACAAAATATTGTGCATTGCAAGAACCTTAAATAATCCAGTCCATGTAAGTTCTATCAAATAAAAATGTTGATATTTTGCATAGACTATTAAATTAATGGTATATTGGGTTAAAACCAAAGTGTTTAGTTTTCTAAATACACTTGATAAACTGGTTTCTTAAGATCTTTATTTCACTTTATGAATGATAAGAGATGTTGAAAAGTTAGTGAATACTGACTTGATACAAAACAGTCAATTATTCAGAGTTCTTTGTTAAAAATCATTAACTTTTATGCATTATACTATGAATAGTTGCCTAAATAACATGAATGGATAGAAGTATTTACCTGTAAAATTAAATTTTGTTCAAAGTATAACATTTAATCTAACTGGTAATGAATAAAATTCCGTCTTCAAATTTTATTCTTTCTCATTTTTCAACTGGTTTTGTATTAGAGTACATAATTTATTAATTAAATTGTGTTACACTGTTGTGTCATGACATATCATTTGTTATCAATTTAGTCATCAGTATGGGGTTGTGGATATCATTAAGCTCCTGACTGAAATTATGAACCGATTGATGTTAGATTACCATTGAAAACCTGGAAGAACTGGACGCCGTTCCGTCTCATTATGGGACTCCTAAGCAGTGCGCATCCATGATCCTGTTTGCGGAATTCGAACCCAGGACCCTCGATCTCACTCGCGAACTCTTAACATCTAAACCATTGAGCTGGCTTCCAGTGATGTTAATGTCTAATCTCAACCAATCCACGAAATTGTGCAGTCATCTCCCATTGTACTGAAGTAGATGACTGTCTCTACCCGACACGGAGTTCTAGTGAGAAACCGTGACCAAAATTGTCATGGAGTATGTGTATAAAATTCTTAGTTCTATATTCTTGCTGATGACTTAATAAAACAAGCTCTTGTAGCATGAAGAAGTAAGTTGGTTGTTTCACCGTAATATCAGAATAATACAGCAGGATATTTACCAGTTTACTGATCATTCGTGAAATCCAGTACTCATCAACTATCATTTGTTTTGTTTATTCATAACAGAATTCAACCAAACCAGTAAAATGTAGTCAGGTTCTAAAAAGCAAACATTGTTGGTTCATTATTTATGGTTAAGAATGTTATTCACCTCTCTATTGATCAAATGAAATGTGTTTGTCATGTGATTCAAGTGCCTATGTGATAGTCTTTTTTATCTCTCTTGTTTTAATTCAGTCAGATACATGAGTAAAAATATTAATCACTTTAAATGGTATTTTGTGCTATACTGCCTGATATATTTTATGTACTGGGAGAAGATAATATAAGCCGCAAGATTCAAGCTGAGTTGTTTAAAATTATCCTACTGGCTGCAGTAATTGAAGACCTGTGATCTGATTTTCTCTAAGGTCATCGATTTGCATAGATAAGAATTGTATAAAACTTAATAAACCTACCCTAACTTTCACACTTCTTCTGTTCATTATGACTATGAAACTGGTAACCATCCTAATCATCAGACAGAAGGGAGTCTTATCAAAGGAAAACTTAACCATCCAATCCTTTTGGAATGTTTAATGTCTGAATCAGTTATTGCTATTCATAGAAGCGTTTCTATCGTTAAAATCTTAGTGGAAGACAGAATAAATCTGATTGAAGATTGCCATCCAAGCTTTAAGACTATTGTACAAGTTATATTACATATATTGTAGCCGTGTGAACTTTCTGGTGAATATAAATATGCTATTTCATTTCTATCACCATGACCTATCAAACAATAAGCTCCAACAAGTAAGGTAAAGGGAATCTTAGCCATCGACTGACAAAAGTCGAGCACGATTATAAAAAGCAGTGATATTTCTGAGATTTAAAATTGATTTGATGATTTATTAGGGTCTTTGGAAGGTTCTGAAATTTTCAGTACAAAATACATATGGCTGAAAGTATTTACACATTGTATAGGTTGACGTTGGTTTTCATCAAGACAATCATAGAAAACCGATGATTATTAAATGAACGTTTCTTTCCAACTTGTAAATCTCCAGCAGCTTGAACTTACAATCTTATGACCTAGTCTCACAGCTAATGTAGTATGTAAATACTGCTTCATTGAAATATAGTGATCCATATTTCTAGCCTTGTTCTAATCACAGCATACATCGACTAGCACTCAATATCACTAAAGACACCTGTTCTCATCTTTCTATGAAACTGTTGGTTTAAAACTTAATGGGTTTGTTTAACATAATTTTAGATGATAGATGATGATCAACTGAATATATTTGGTAAACAATTAAGTATGTCGATAAACATAAATTTGTAATACATTATATTAATTAGAGAAAATAGAAATATAACACCGCTGGATGCCGGCTCAGTGTTCCAGAGGTTAAGCGTTCGCGCTTGAGACCAATGTCCCTGGGTTCGATGGATGCGCACTGCTGAGGAGTCCCATAATATGACGAAAGGGCTATCCAGTGCTCCCAGGTTTTCAATGGTGGTATGACATCAATCTGTTCATGATCTCAATCAAAACCCTAATGATCTATACAACCCTAGAGTAAGGAATATAATTAATGAATAAAATGCTGGTCGCGTATTATCGAAGTTTGTATCTAACTTAAATAGATATTTAAATCAATTTTAATCCATACTGTTACTGCAATTTGAAAATTATTATGCAATAAACAAATATGAAAAATTGTCCATTTTCCTTTCATGGTTGTTTATTTACTTACCATTTGTCCTTTATGCATTAAATAGAGTAAATGAATAATTTTTCAAATAGAATTTCGATTAAAATCTTTATTGTTGTTTTTATCCTTTTTAAACTATTCACTGGTGTACTTTGATAATTTCAAATAATACGTGACTGAATAATAGTTAATATGAATTGATTTAAAACGTGACTAGAATTATTCATTTTGTAAGGCGGCCTGGTTGAATATTTGCGTTACCTGTTCCTGTCCTTTAAATATTTCAATAAGTTATCTGGGTTTATGTTTATTAATCGAATCGTGGGCAATATGCATTGAAAAGAATGAATATTATTCAGATGTTGATTCCTGACCTGCTAAAATCTAACTGGCGATTACTCAGTCATGTGAATAAAATCCATGGCAGAAGAATTTCATCTTGTCGGTCGAAGTAATCTTAGCAATAGTAATAAGAGAGATTTTATCAAGGTAATTACGATAAAAACGAATTCATATGAATCAAGGGAGATCCATGTGAAGATCAAAAACAATATAAACACAAGAAGAATCAGAAGGGGGAAAAAGAGGTTTATAGTATCCAGTAATCCAGTCGAGGGCCATGGTAAACATAGGGGCTAGATACACCTCTTCCGAATACATAAGTTCGGTTCTCTGGAGTTGGTCCAGATGGCTTCAGCTATATAGAGTTGCCGCAATCTATAGGTAGATTCATTAAAACTTGATATAAAACAGAGAAAGCTTCCTCTGTTTTAATATGATTTTTACTATTTCCCAAATTAGAAAGAATGGGGATGTTAATTAGTTTAGTGATTTCTTTTCCTAACCCTGCTAGTACATCTTCATGAACACGCAAAGATAAAGCCCTATAAGTATGGCCTATGTAATTAGCTCCGTAGTAGCAGTTGAACTGGTATACACACATGGAGTAGCCCATCATCAGTAACCTATCCTTAATTTGTTGTGTGAGTACTGGTTTGATCGAAAAAGTTATATGTAAATTGGTGTGAAATGTCTTTTCAACAGATCTTTTGAGTCGACGAGTTAAAATGTTACTCTCTATGTCCTCTTTAAAATCCAGTTTCAGATAAAAGGTTATTTTACTTACCATGCCATAGTTTCTTCCCATTCATTACCTTCTGATAGAAATTTTCGGAACAAATTATCCAGATAGCCGTTATTTTGTGAAATTTTCTTTAGCTTACCTATTTCGCTATCTACAATATCTTCAGAACATAATAGTTATATTCTGTGACTGAGACATTTGGCCCATTTTATTTTGCATTGAAGATTTGTAAAGCTACAGAAAGGGTATATTGACGTGTCCATATATTCTTTTTAAATACATTTTTTTGGAACTATCTATCCTTCTAGAAAGTAGGATATCAAGGAAAGCTATACTATTGTCGTTCCCCTCTTCACGGATAAATTTAATAGCTAGATGGACATTATTGAAACAGTTCAACAGCTCTTGTTTGTCGATACTAACTGACTAATCATAATATGAGATGGGATTTTGGAATTTCACTAGTTTTATTTCAATATAAAACACTGAAGTGCATAAAGATTTGTGGAATGTATATTACTTGTCTGTTCTTGCTAGAACACATTACATCATACTATACTGAACCCTATTATTCAATATAAAACAAATTAATAACATAAATTCCACAACAAATCTCATTGTGTCATATTGAAACGTATATCAGTGATGTTGCGAAATTCAATCTCATATTCCTTTACTAGTTATTTTGTTAAGAAATCAATAAAAAAAATGAAGAGAAAAGTAAAAAGAAATGAAACAACACCCAGTAACTTATTCTCATTTAAGACACATATCATGATTGAAACATTGAAACTATTTTCTTTTCTATTAAATAATCATTGTCAAATTAAATAAACAAATTGCACAAGTTTTAATTCTCAAAAAAACCAAATACATCGAACAATTACTATCATTCTAAGTGCGTTTTTTTTGTGTATGGAAATAAATGATTTGCATTAGTTTACACCATATATCAACTGTTTCTTTAATTAAACATAATAAACAACACATGACATTAGTTATGTATGCAATTCTAAGAAGAAATACATCACTGACAAAATGTTAGACATCAAAATGATGTATTTAATTTGATAAAAAGAAATATCTTTTCATTATGAGTAGTATGTGACTTTAATTCAACTGTGAAAAAGAATGAGATTATTCTTCTTCAAAAAGAAAAGTGTCACAAATAGAGATAAGGTTGAACTAGTTTCACGGTTGACCAATATAAGATCGAGTTAACCTGAAATAAGTACACAAGAGAAGGAAATAGAATTTATAAACTCATTTGTAGAATATCTGATAATTTATATGAAAATGATGGAATGTTATGACATGAAAAATAATTGCAAAAACTGATTAATGTTATACCAGCATTGAGAACCTGGAAGCAATGGACGGCCGTTTCATCCTAGTATGGAACTCCCCAGAAGTGCACATCCACGATCCCGCCACCTCGCAGGATTCCAACCCAGGGTCTTGAGTGCGAATGCTTGACCTTTAGACCACAGTTGGATGCCGACTCAATGGTCTAGTTGTTAAGCGTTCCCACAAAAGACTGAAGGCTCTGAGTTCCAATCCCACAATCGGGGTCGTGGATGCCCACTGCTGAAGAGTCTCATAATGGGATGAAATGGCCGTCCAGTTCTTCCAGGTTTTCAATGGTGGTCTGACATCAATCGATTCATGATCACAATCAAAAACTTAATAATTTCCACAACCGTATACTGATAATTACAAAAATTTTAGAATTTTTCTTTATATTTACTGAACATTTTAATGAATAAGTGTTTGGAATTATTGAGTGGTTTTCAAATACATCGACGTAGGACAAAGATGTACAAGTGTGTTGATGAACTGCAATTAATTATATGATCTTTATGAACAAAGTATCTCGGTAGACATCATTTGACATTAACTTGATTCCATGAAATACATATCTACCTATGAATCTAAATTCATATGACTTTTTATGAAGATAAAGATTGTCTTTGATAAAATCCAAGAAAGATGACCATTTTAGAAATGGCCAAGTTATTGATTTTCACTGACACTGACATCGAAGTTTAAACGAGATATATAAGGAATTAGATCTGTTCATAAATTTTTGTCAGACAATTTTTATTTAATAGAATAGTTGATTCCTTTGATTATTACCAACTTGGAACATAAATAATTTCTCCATATAATACCAAAAATAGAGAAGTATAGAAGTCTTCTTGGATTCCTGATCCATATTCTATGGTAGAAAAACGATTTATGAAGAGTTTGATCGAACTACAGTTTCTGTTGTTAACTTTTTTGATTCAAAAATAAGCAGGTACTAACATATGTTCATCTTTGGCAGTAATTATTCTCATATCAATATGTTCCTAGATTTTCAGTCAATTGATCTGACGACTCTATATTCCTATGCTGTCTAAAGTCATAGGTAAGAACTGATCTAAAGACTTTAAACAAAAATTCTGGGAGGATAGATCAATTCACAACAGAATGAATTTTCTAGTTTCGAAAATCACTTTCATGACATGGATTATTACTTATGTACTCATTTTAATTAACTGTCAGAAATAATACAAAGGCACTTATTATGTGGATAAAACTATAAAATAAAATTTCAATAGTTAAGATCATGAGTCAATTGAAGTTAGACCACCATTGAAAACTTGGAATCACTGGAGTCCCACAATAGGACGAAGTAGACCTTCAGTGCTTCCACGTTTTTCATGATTGTCTAGCTTCCATTGACTCATGATCTTAACTACTAAAATTACTATCATATCTACAATAACCGCTTCTGATATTAATAAAGGAAAAGCTTTTCCGCTATGTATGAATGTAATGAAATCAATATGTGTGTAATTATTTTTATAAAATGTTTAATAAGCTAATTGTTGTTTTTTAACATTCCAATAGATAATGACTTATCATTGGTTGATTAGTATACAAATCTCATTGTTATTTGTTAACTGCTTATGTAATGGATCAGGTTAGTGAATACTTGCATATTTCAGATTAGTTTTATACCTAATTACTAATAGTTTTCCAGATAAATTGGGTAATATTTTTGTACGTCTGTATCTAATTGTAATAGAGATAACAGAATTAGAAGAGACTAATTATAATTCGGTACACGTGTTGAAACTATTCTCATAGACAAATTACATATCCAAATTACAACTTTTAGGTTGTTTTTCTAATAAATTCTACTGAGATAGTGAAGAAGATTTGTAGTTTAGATGGATAATTTTAAATGAAGTTTTGTTCCCTGAACTGGGTGGTTCGATCGTATAGCTTTTATTGTTATTCTGAACGACATCATCAGCACAAACCTCAGGTAGAAGTTGATGGTATCATTCACAATAATGATGAAATCTTCACGACCAAACCATCTAACCAAACTCCATCAAAATTAATTCCTACTGTTTTCAATCAAACATATTATTTTCAGATGATTTAAAATCCTATCACATGATTAACCAAGTATCAGTTATCGTTTTATTTAACGCATCCGCAGCTTCCGTTAGTTAGAAAAAGTAATATCACCTATAGAACTAGACAATAATCAATGAGGATTATTAGGTGAATGAATTCTGAAATATAGACCATCATCAATCTAGTACGATTCGTGAATTTCAAAGTAGCTAAAATAATCCATGCATAACTTGTCTATTTCAAATGGGCTTTTAAGCTCACACTGATCCATAGTGAGAGCTCAATTGAAATATTGCTTTTATAAAAATATTTTGACAAAAGTAAACAGATTAATCATTAACGGTGCTATTGAAACATCTTAACTTATTTATAAATAAACTAATAATTTAGTTATGAGAAAAAATTTACTAAGATTGTTATTGGAATGCCCCTAAATGCCTTAATAATGGCCAAGGGTGAGAAAAGACCGTTCTTCCTCTCGAAATGTTCTCACATTGCCACTCGTATACAGCCGCCGTCAAGAAAGTCCCACTCATTGCCTTCTTGCGACGGGGGTGTTGTTTACGAAATCGAGAGGGCGAAAAGCGAATGTCTGGCGCTTTAACCAGGTTGATGAATATAGAGGATCCACCTAAAGGAGTTGGAAAACCATGATTCCAAACCAATGGTGCATATGGGCTCCAGGATCCTGGAAGAATAAATCGCATATGAATCAGTTATTGGTTATCGGCTACCATGGGACTGCATCTGCTGACGTTACTCCACTGCCTTGTATATCAGTCCTTTAGGTCGAAGGTTCCGATTGATGTGGCGTATATCTATTTGGTTCCTCCTTGTACCAATATCTGTGCGTTCAAATAAATAAAATAAACGAATATTATTGTAATAATTTAGCGAAATATTCACATTTTTGCATTTCCTGAAAGACTTTTGTGTGACACAAGTAATTTTCTAATATAGAAATGAAAACGAATAGAATTGTTTTCTAATTATTTACATTTAATGAATGAGATTAATCATGACAGTATGCTAATCACTAAACATCAAATTGTAGGAATAATGTTTTAGTTTTTTTTTTAAAATTATGTTTTCACTTACCGCCTAGTTTTATTATGTGAATATATTCTGAGCATTATTTGACAATTGAATTTATTTTTTTAATTACACATATTCTACTCACTGAGAATAAAACTAATTCAGAGTTAATACATAAAAGAGGAAGAGTTCAACATCATCTCCACATTAATTAAAGTTCTAATCAGTTTAAATGATTAATCTATGAATACACTTATGATAAATGTTAGTTGTAGATTTCTGTAAACAGTGAGTGAATACTTAAAGGGGCGTCCTCATTTTTCACTCATCCTTTTTATTTCACGCCATTTAAATCAATTATGGTTTGTGTTAGTTACCAATATTCAGTTGATTTCTGGTGATTTATTGACATCGTAATTGTAAGAAAATGCTAAAAGAAATCATGACGAATTTCAATATAATCATGATGCTTATTGATCAAAGTTGAATCAATTTAGTGGTAAAGAATTAATAGTATTATCAGCAACATGCTATTTGAATGTGTATAGGGTGAGTGAAATGAGCTAAAGTAACGTTCGTTATAAATGGTGAATTAGTGACAGTAATAATGAAAATAAGAAAAAAAACATGAATTGGATTAAATGAAAAAAATGTTACGTCTAGCTAACACTTATTTAATAGTAAGAGGTCACTTTTGTACTGGTTTAATTAACCAAGGCGGCTAGCAGGAAAATAAATTGCTAGAGTCAGCGAAATAATAGAAAATTCGAAGGGAAAAAAGTACTCTGTAGGAAATCACTTTCTAATGTTCATATCTCTTTACTATTTTGTTTCATTATCTGGCATATGAAGTCCATATAACTTTTTAATCATTAGAAATGTTATTGTTTTACTTGTTGTAAATCTTTTTTTGGGGGGATGGAAAAATTTCTAACAGAATGGTCTTATTCAAATGTATTAACTGGACCGGAAACATGGAATCAACACTACAGAAATATGTGTTCCGGTTATTATCAATCACCAATTGATTTGAAATCAGATATATCTATACTTGATTTACGATTAAAAACTGTGGTAATTTATCAAAACACATCAGTTGCTGAGACCACTACAATTACAAATAATGGTCACTCAGGTGAGTTCATGCTTTTTTTTTCATTTTTCTATTAAATTACACTTTTGTTTTATCATTTACAACATATTAATAGAATAAAATAAACTTCCTGTCTATATATACACATTTTTCTTTACTATTTATAAGTTTGCACATCCTTTATATTATATCATCGTTTTAAGGATTCATGATTTTTAGATTGATTACAGCCGAAGATAGTAATAATTCAATTTTAGTGAACCGAGATCTGCCTCCAGTTATATCGTGTGATTGTAATTGTTATTGAGATTTATTTGTCGTCAATCCTCGTATAGAAGTATTGATTTAATCCACATTAATGTATAACGGAGTTCAATAAGCCAAATACGAATATGGATTTTCGAATACTTATATTTTGTACACTCATTGATCTGGGCAAGCAATAAAAAAAATGAAGCGAAGGAAACAAAGAGAAGCGAGCGAAGCGAAATGAAGCTCAGTGGAGAAGGCGTATATGCCAACTCCATTTAATAAAGCGGTAATCAATACTTATAGTAACACAAAAATAAACTACAGACATGTGATAAGTAGGATAAGATGTACACACATACGCTCATATAAAAGCATTCAGGGTTAACAAATGAATAATTAACAAGATTAAAACGTGGCTCTAGAAGAATGGATAGATTGATCTGTCCAGAAGCTTGAATCAGGTATATGGGCTAAACATAGTAACGGACACAACAATACTTCATACTTTGATGGCAGAATGTGTTAGTTATACCTTGAATTATGTTTTGAAATCGACTGAATTTCTCGTAAAATAAAGAATAAATTGTTCCTTAGACAATAATACTTCATCAAAAAAGAAAAAAATCGTATTTGTTTTATTCCCTTAGTAGTTCACAAACACTTTGTGTTTTTTTTACTTGGAAAATAAAGAATCTATCCATCTATCCATCCAAAACACTTATACGCAAGAAATGTGAAAATAGATTCCATGAATGGTGAGATGGATTTGACATGAAAATAAACTGGTTAATGTTTTCCGCTTCATTAACATATCTACAAAATTTGCTTAAAATGCAAATGCGAAACATGATATCTCAATCAGTCTTACATTCCATTTATGGAAAGCCGACTAATTGTACATCCTTGATTCAAATTCATTAACATATTGGAGCATTTTATGGACATGACATGGTTTTCAAGAAAATGATTTAACTAACTCGTAAGAATTAACGTGGCCTATAAATATCATTCATTTTAACAGCCAAATATATGCAACTATCATACAGTGAAATGACATTGTCATTTATTTAAATATAACAATCCATTAATTAAATGTTTAAATGAACACAAACTCTAATGACCGACACTAGCATTTAATGTTTCATTTGAAAAAGATTTTCAGTTCCAAACTGAACTAAAAGTACTTCATGTTCTAGAACACAACACATGTATAATGAAGCCTAATGCTTGTCTCCTGATAAAAATATGCATTGACTGATAGACAGTTGTTTTAAATCAGACTACTAGTGTAGCTAAACAAGTTTCCACAAAGGACAAAACTACAGATATATCAAGCTATATTTACCCTAGTTCTGAAGATTAGTGTAGTTTCTGAATAAAAACATCTTGCTTTCAGTATACACCTATTGTTTACTAGTAATCATCGGAATAGTTTAATATCATTAAATTTTTTTTTCTTTCAGAAAATCAGATATAGATTCATTATATAACATTTTCAATGGTTGAGATCATGAGTCAATTAAAGCTAGACCACAATGGAAAACCTGGAAGTACTGGACAGCCGTTTTGCTCTAGTGTAGAACTTCTCACCAGTACGTATTCTCAACCTCACCTCGTGGGATTTGAACCCACGACCTATCAGTCTCGCGCACGAGCGCTTAACCACTAGACTACTGAGATAGCTGGCATCCAACAGTGTTAATGTCTAACTTGAACTAATCCGTGAAATTGAGCGACACATCCACCATTGCCATCACTGAGTTACTATCTAACATTTTCCTAAATCCAATTATAGTGATAATAGTTTAGTGATTTACTATTTATATATAATGATAAAAAACAGATATATTCGGTCACTTAGTAAAATGATATTAAATTTGTATACTTAGAACCGGTAAACTTGTTTGTCTGGTGATTTAAAAGAAATAGAATCAACATCAATTGGGTTGTTTGGTTGTATTAACTCAACTGCTTAGTATTCATTAATACATTTAATGCTAGAAAGCATAGAATTTATTGACTATGTTTTGTGACTTATACAATCTTTTATGTATCATATATTTATCTTACTAATTAAGCTGATGTTACATTTTCACAAAACACTTGGTTTATATCATTTGATGGCTTACGTGACTTTAAATATGAAATTGCAAAAATGCATTTTCACTGGGGTAATACTGATGATCGTGGATCTGAGCATACTATTGATGGAATTAGATTTCCTTTAGAAGTAAGTCTGTATGTAAATTATTGTCATTTGACTTTAACATTCTTTTTCACATACATCAAGAGTGAAGAGAGCACATTATGAATATTTTGATATTGCTAATTGCTGATGAACGATTTTAGATGTGATCATATATCTCTAAGAATCAGATTGATAATTGTTCATGAAGATCTAATGAGTCAAGTGAATTAAAAAGTATATTCCTTTGTGCGAAATGACACAATTATGTGCAACAGCTTAATCACGAAACATATCCGATCATGGTCTATTGAGAATATAAACAAATAAAGGTTATAAGTAATTAGGTTTCTTCACCCGCGAATAAACGTGAAAAAATGGCAACTAGCCTTCATTCTTATCAGTCATGTTTAAATATACTGTTTTTATTCTTAACACAAATTGTAGGGACATATTGTATCTTTTCGAAAAGAGATGTATTCTTCACTCCAGGAAGCTATCGGTCGACCAGGTGGACTTGCTGTTCTTGGTATCATGCATAACATTGTTGAATCAATAAAATCTGACCAAACAGTGTTCAAGGCATATAACAGTTTTTCTGGTGTATTGAATTCACAATTCGTTCCTCCAAATGCTTTGACAGTTGATAATATGAATTTATCGCTAATTCTAAGCTTCTTGAATCCTAGTCGTTATTTTCGCTATTTTGGTTCACTGACAACTCCACCATGCACAGAAAATGTTCTTTGGACTGTTTTTATGGATCCAGTGCCAATTACACGTGAACAGGTAATCATAATTCTACGTTAACGGAATAAATTCGAGTTTCTCTGTTTTCAAATGAACCAGACAATACTTAAATCAAATTCAGCACATTGAAATAAATGTAATATTATGTTATTTTGCCATAAATTTATTGACATAAATTAATCAATAACTAATTAGTAACGTCATCCTGTTAATCTCAACTCTTTCAAACATGTTTCAATGTACTCACTAGTTTGATTCACTCAACATTAGTGTGTTTTTGTATGCTGTTCAAGGTTGACAGTAACCGATGGCGGTACTGGAATACTTATTTTGTGATAGTTGATGCTGATTACCTAAGTTTATTCAAAGTCATCTGAGAATTAGTGTAGTGATCTGTATTTATTACGTGTTTGGATTTCAGTAAACTAGTACGTTCTGCTTTGAATCGTGAATATGTTCACCTTATTTGAAACAATGCCTGAGAAGCAGAAACATTCCACGAACCATTATATACTGAGAAAGAGCCAACCGTCACCTAGTACAGTGACTTATTTATGTCATCCAAATTCAGACAAATTAGTCTAGATGATTAATTAAACGTAGAACAAATTAAACTTCACTTCGTAAACACACATATACAAAGAATATAGAAAACATTCAACAAATATTTTGTTATAATCAGACAAGGGTTTTGTGAAGATTGTAGTAATTTCACAATTAAATTTATTAGTCTATTAAAGCTAGACCACCATGGAAAACCTGGAAGCACTGGATGGCCGTCTCATCCTAGTATGAAACTCCTCAGAAGTGCGAGACTGATAGATCCTGGTTTCAAATCTGACGGTACGGGATTGTGAATGCGCTTCAGTTAACTCATCAATTCAATTATTAAAATATTCCGTTGTTCAGTTTGCAAGAATATCAGTGTTCCGTAATAGATGGTGAAATCCTTACGAGAGTGGAGATTCCTATGAAGTATCAAATAAATTATATTTTATGATTGATAAAAATACAAGACCCGTTTCCACTCTTCTAGAAAATTAATTTTTAATTTTCAGTACTTAGCAACAAAAAAAACAATTAGATTTATGAATATAAATATAATTAAATCTATGAGATTTATTATATTGCGATCACCCAATGAATCATTTCATTCCAAAAATGCAGTGAATACGTTTCATGCAAACAACATTAAAATCTTAGTAATTTAAAGATCTTCAAAGGATGTTCAGGAACATGGAGCACTAAAATGGATGATAATTTCCGGTCACTTCTTTCTTAGATTGGACAGTAATATAACTTAAAATTATGAAATAAAATACAAAATATTAAAGTTTAATTAATTCTTATATTATAAATTGAAAATGTCATTTTCTTATAGAAAGAAAACAATCATTTGTCCTAATACTGTTTATTTTATTCGTCAAATCATGACCGACATTATTAAAGTCACTTACAATATACTTTCTTGAATAGACTAATTCTTACAGTTAACGGTAGAATAAAGTTTGCCTTATATAATAGCAAATATTAAACAATCTAAGCATTGACATAAATGTGTAACAGTTCATATATTCACATTTGATGTCCTGTTATTAAGGGAGTATAAACATGATGACAGTTAAAAGAATTAATTTAGCAGTATGAGCAAAGATAGATCGTGGTGGGCAGTGAAATTCAGGGTGCGCGTTTTGTCCTATCTGGCACTCGTCAACTGGATATACCAGCATCACAGAGTTGTTGTTCACTTTGACACTCGAACCCAGTATTAGGACTCAATATCTAAGTGAATAATACGATGGCATTTGAAGCGAATGGTATTGGGTTTGAGTTCCGGAGTAAACATTAACTATCGGGTGCAGGTACTCCCAGTTAATTAGTCCCAGATAAGGATTAAACACGCGTCCTAGCTTCCACTGCCATCCACTATCCATTTCTGCTTATAATGCTTATGATTTAAAGCAATATTGAGGCAATCCGAACAGGATGAACATATACCAATAAGAGACTGATCAATCGCAGTCCTGAACATCAGTGGGAAGATTCAAATAAACAGTACAATATAAATTTAATATAGTAGTGTTATTTATTATATTACAAAATTAAGCAGAGTGAATTCAGTTAAGAAACCGTAAATAAAATGGAAAAAGTTCAAAGTATGATATGATTATAAAGCATGCGAAAAAGATAAAAACTAAAAAAATACATACCATTTTATTTATCCTTGAGTCATATCATTTAAAGCTTTCATCTGCTAATATCTGCAATTGTATAAAGTCTAATTAGGAAATTTGCAGTTCTCAATTTGTCTTAGTCACTAGCCTCATAGACTTATTATAACCGAATCACAACCCATACATGTGTTGTTTATCATTTAATTAATAAAGGGATTTACACCTTGATCTTGGCTGAACGTGTAAATAAACTTCTCTACATGTTTTATTACATTAGTATTTATTAGTCTTTGAATAATATTTGTATTATACTGTATATGAATTTTTCCAGGTTAATCTATTTCGTAGTTTACCTTATGGTCCAAATGAAAAACAAACTACTATGGGTGATAATTTTCGTCCTATTCAATCATTAAATCCACCCGATACACTTGCACCACGTTCTCTATATCGAGCTACAGCATCAAGTCTTTCATTATTATCTTTACCAGGTTTATTATGTATCATGTTGACCAGTCAACTTACTGTGATATTTTCTTAATTCATTTAATTCAAAACTATTTATGTCTGAGATATTTAGCTTCTTCTAGACCCAAATTATTGCTCTTTCATTCTTTGAATTAAAAACAAAAAGAGGATACTTACCCATACTACTTTATAGAGTAAATTTTCTTGCTTTATTTATTTTTTCTTTATTTGTTTTCTAAATTTCTCATATTTTGTAAATAACTTAATTGGTCATATTCCAAAACATTTTGAAGATGTGTTATATTTGGCTTGATTTCACATCATAATGTTTATTTTATTAGATTAATATGATTATGCCATATATGTATCTGTAAGAGTTCCTTGGTCAATAGCCTCGTTAGTTACTGTCTACTACTTTTAGCTCTTAATTAGTTGGTTAATATTTTCCTTTTCAAGATTCAAGATGAAGTGGAAAAAAATATTATGTATTCATGATTCATTCATTGTAGTTAATTATCAATGAATAATAAAAAAGAAATGACATTTCATCTAATGACTTTATTCTGTTGAGATTTTGTAATTCTCTTTTATTTTTACCTGAAATTTGGTTACGAAGCATATTGTAAGCCAATACAATAGGTAGGAGGAAAGTATATTTATTGTAAAAAGTTACAATTTATTTACACAATAATTATACATAGCCATTATTCGTCCATTGGCATCTTTCAGTATGTTCTGAAATCTCAAATGTTTTCTCGAGTGGTCTCGAATTATCTGACAATATTTGGCTTTCAATGCACTGAAACATTTCACTTTGATGTCATGTTCCGCTACACACTACTTGATATCAATCTTGTGAGTAGCGTTCACTACAACACAATTAAAGATATAAAATGCAACAAATTTACTGAGAGCGTATAAAGTAACAATTCTCTAAATGAAGATTATATCTTTTACGAGTATAAAGAGCTGTACTGTTATAATTTTAGTCTTCTTACTGGTAGTGTACACATAAAGCCTAAAATCGAACTTACTCGAGAACCTTCATATTAAGTGGTAATAATGGTACTTCTATACCGATTCGTTCAAATCTAGTCTGTAAGATTTCCAAATTCAGGTGATTTGCTATGTAAATGTGATAGCTAACTCCTTTTCAAGATCGTCCAAGACTCTTGAGTGAAAATGTGAGTGTGGATCATTGAATCTTGCCTCGAGGATTTGAAGATATTTTGATCTCCAAGACACTTAAAGAAATGTACAGTTGTAGACGAGCACAATAAACAACTTCATATCTGACGGTAGACTTCAAGTACAAAAACTCTCACTTTGCAAAAGTTTTAATAAGTGTTTCGGAGAACAAGGTTTTGAACATGCTCACTATATTGAAGTGAACTCAATGTTATCATTTCTATATGTAAATATTTTTATTTCCAGGTTTAACCGATGACCCTATTTTGTGCGTGGGCATATGATTCTTGTTTCACTTTGTGTCAAGAAATGGTTCTTTCTGTATTTTAGCCAAAACTTTAAGTGCCATCAAGAACTGAAATTATAGCCAATACACATCAACGGTTCTTTATAAAGTGTTACCTGTGAGTCTGGGATTGATCATACAAATTTAAGACCACCTAACAGGAATCCGTCAATTCACAGTTATAAATTCATTCATTTCGCAATCGCCTATGCAATCAGTGTTACATGATGTAAGTATTTCACTTAAAGTTTACTGTTCTTACGATTTACCTGAAGTATCATAGCTAGAGATTGATTTATAAAACCGCCTGTAGAATATAAAACCTTGATATTAATGTATAAAGGTTATGAAGAAACAATAAGCATTTCAAAGCGACACATAGTGAACACATGAACTATGAAATAAGCACAAGAACCACTGAAAGACGATATGTGCTGATCAACCATTTTATTTAGGTATGTGTCTTCTTAATGGTAGTATTCATTCGCGATTCTAAAGACGCTGGTTGAGATTCTAATTTCTGACTACTTCGGGATCTCATTTGAGTCAAAATCAACATATAATTGATGTGTCGCTTATTGCAACTGAAGAACGAGTTAACCTGTTGTTATGTAATTATTCAAATCATCCAATAGATTAAAGGTCATTTACAGAAGACAAGTTTAATTTACTCTGTATATTTTCGAAATAATCAGGTAGCATCGGTAGGATAGTACATACATTTTCCATGTAATATATACGAGTTTCATTGGATCACAATTACAGAAATAAAAAATATATCACAGGAATGTTCTGTATTATCCGCGTATATAGAGCTATTATGTTGAAAAGAAAAAGTCGCGACAAAAAACAGTCAACTATCGAAAAAACATTTTTCCTTAATTTTAAATGTACTTGTTACGTAAAATAACTTTTTCCATTTGTAATTTAGTATCTAATTATATCGAGATATGCATGAAATATTTCAGTAACAGATGTTTTGTGAGAGTTGTTAAAGAATACATTATTTCTATATTAGTATTCCTCGATGTAAGAAGACAGAGTAGTCACCGCAACCCTTAAACACGGATCTTATGCTAGTTTTGTACTAATCAGTAAATTTTGTCTGAAATTTTAGAAAAAAATGCTCCTGTACTAATAGAAAGTTATTTCCCTCAGTATCGTTTTCACTAAGTATAACACTCAACGATTACAACTAATTAACCATGAAGTCGTAATTAATGCCATGTCTAATAACCAGTGCTGTTTGCATTTTCGCACTGAATTAGTCTCCACTTTACTGAATACTGAATTTCATTTGATTATACTACCAAGGAAAGTTCGTAAGTATTCGAGTACTGAGTAGCAAATTTATAGGATGAGAATTAAGCCAACCGGTGATATACGAAGGAGATAAACCTTTTAGTTAACATTTGTAAACACTATGGAGAAGGAAAACACAATAATCAAAAAATACAACTACATACAAAATCTCACTATAAACCATAGTTACGATAGTCTGGCATTAGAGCATTATCAGTTTGTAGCAAACAAAACTGCTTTTCCTCAGAAATAGTCAAAGCATACGTAAATGAACCCAAACTAAGTGTGAACATGATACTATAAGACCATATGGCAAGAATATTAGCATTGAGGCAAATACACCAATGAGCAGCGATGGATGGTGACTAGCAGTGAGATCCAAGATGAGCGTTTCGTCCTATTTCGAACTCGTCAACTGGGTGTGCCTGCATCCCTTATTTGTTGTTCATTGTTCATTGTTTTGTAAACATTAACAATATAATAAATTGAATAATATAGAATGCAATGAATCAAGTTAACCAATGGATAGTAGATAACAATATGATACAATTGATTTTGATTAATCAGTAACAAATCAAGTATCGATTAATTTAACATTAAACATCCCTTGATTCAATAATATTCGTTACATTTATATGTTTTAATCATGAATTCAATGAGATTAGTTTTCGACTTTTACATAAATGTCTACTCAAAAATGCAATATTCACTTAATTGCATAATCACAAATTGCTTAACTCTCTTTTGTTGAGCTCATAAAATTTCTCAGGATAAAAAAACAAAAATATAAGGTGAGATTATAATTTATGGACGACCTTTGAAGCCTTGAGCACGTCTACCTATTACTTACTTACTTACGCCTGTTACTCCTAATGGAGCATAGGCCGCAGACCAGCATTCTCCGACCCACTCTGTCCTGGGCTTTCTTTGGTTCGTCCATAAATTATAGTTTCGCCTTTAGTATGAATTAATGTTTACCTTTGCATGGACAAATGTAAATAGTTTTGATGAATGAAAATATGATAAGTCAATTTGGAACGTTTGTTGGCTAAAATGAGAATTATTTAACATAAATTTCAAATTCAATCAAGTTAACATTGAATACTCTCTGTATGTTAATCATTTGAATTGTCTTTTGAAAATCCATTCATAGAAGTATCTTCAACTTATCATCTTGACCTTCAACATTACAGATGACTAATTGGCTATCTTGCATAGAGTTCCCCCTCGAATTTTCTACATTCTATATACTTTAAAGATGTTTACGAAATTCTAATGATTGGTATTTTAACAATTATTCAGTGAAACTAAGGATTTAGTATACATTACATCACGGTAACTAAAATGTAGTTCTAGAATCGCTCGTATGTTGACAGAATTTCAACTAATCATAGCATGTATGAATCTTGTGAAGACTGTCTCGATACTTCCATTTTTCAGAAACTTTCATAGAATAGATAAATTTGTGACCGGTAGGGATAGCCAGGACTCGCGTTTCGACCGAACCGGGTTAGGTGCACGTACATCCAATGTCGATACTAACATTATGAATTGAACCTAGCACCCTTAGCTTCAAACGCCCAACACGTTAATCATTGAGCTACTGAATCTAGAAAGCCACTCAGATATGATATTTATATCATGATTAGAAAAGATTTCAGTTATCGCTTTGCTGACAATCGTAACGGGATTCCAATCAGTCTTTTTATTAAAATATTTGCACACCATGAATGTAACACGTTATTCATTTGAAGCGAGATATACTGGTTACGAGTCTTGGTGTAAAAATGAACACTGGTATCCAAAGTCGCCTAGCTAGCTACTATGGTATAGATCTTTTCGCTTATACATGTATGCTCACAAGCAAACAATTACTCTCTACATTTATGATTTCACCTTATCCGTTACTAAGTATGTGAGGAAAACCAGTTTTGGTGAAATTCGAAAACAATACTAAAAACTTCCATTTCTCAGCTAATCAGTAAACTGATTAATATACCTTTATATTTTATTCATATATGAATGGGGTTGATGGCTTTATTTTCCCATGTTGACATATTTATACCAGTTATATTTTGTCCGATTACAATATATTCTAAATACAATATAGGTCTAATAACCTGCTACTAGAAATTTGGTAAGCGAAGTGAGAAGAATAGATCACCTTGATAACAAAACAACCTATTGAGACAAAAAATGTTATCTTACAAGGTAAAATATTATCCGAGTTTCCAAGATGACTGATAAGTCTTGCTAATTGAACGCTATATTCGGTTCCTAAACTCTTCTAGTAAACCCCAAGCTAGAACTACACAGAGACTTGAAGAAGAGGGAAAAGGAGAAAAGCACGTAAGAAATACTTTACTCCAAACGTTCATTCATGTACAGAAAATATAGGGTTTTTATAGTATTTTAGATGTCCTTGGGTTTTCCCGAAAATTCTAGAATGCTACTAAACATGGTAGCAGTGTAGTAATCAGCCAATCAGAAACTCGAAATGTGACTTTCCAACTTCTGGATGTTTCTGGCAAAACTTTTAGTGAACGCTGATAGGATAAAATGCTTCCCAGTGTTTTTAGAGCCTTTCTTGGTTGTTTTTGAGGAGTTTTCTGGATCTCCCCAACACTAACATATTCCAGGAGAGGAAATCAGGAAAAGAATACATGATAAAGTTGGAATAATAAGAACAAATGCAATGCAAAATCAAATATAATAATTATGTTCACAAAAGGATAAATGGGATTGTCTAGGATGAGAAAATATGAACTGATTATACGATTTAAGGAAAAAATCACCAAGACCGATTTTCAAACTTTGTCTCTGAACACCCTTAACTGGAAAGTAAAACCCATGAAGGAATTCCATGATTCCACAAATCGTTGAAAAACAACCGTTAGTGATTTCATCAGGATGGTACTGTCTTAATTCGACCACT